TGGCCAATGATTGTTTTGCTTCCGAGTTTTCTAGAGCTTTTTCGTTTTTAATGGTTTGAATTCGCGTCGACAGCTCTTCCAGTTTCTCCTGGCTTTTAGCAGATTCTTCTTTTGCTTTTTGACGTTCGATTTCGAATCTTAGTTTCAGTTTAGCAAATATTTGCTTCTCCTGCAATGCTTTTGCTTCATTTTGATCTCGTTCCGATGTAACGACTTGTAGCTTATCGTTTAAATCCTTGATCACTCTTTCGTATTTGGCATTTTTTTCTTTGGAAACTGTCAGTTCATTTTGTACAGCTTCAAATTTGACTTGATTAGTCTTTTCGAAATTTATGGCTTCGGTTTGCACGATTTGTGAAATCGATTGAACCAAATCCTGAACGGTGGCTGACGAGTTGCAACCAGATGGTGAGGTGGAATCGGCCAAACCGGAAACATTTACAATGCTCGTGTCACATTGGTGGTTGTCTTGAATCACAGTATCATTTTTGATTTCATTTTCCGAGGAGATACGCGGTTTCTTTGTTGGAATTCCTGTATCCATATCGGTTTCGGCGTGTTCAATGAATTCTTGACTGTTATTATTAGATGTAGTATTGATATGAACGTTAATGTCTTCTGAAGAGACGCATCGCTTCCGATTTGGAGTCGTTGTGCCATTGTCACTCTCGTTTTCATTTGGATCATCAATTTCACTGTCGTCAGTGCTGTCTTCACTGAAGCTTCCACTATTTTCTTCAGAATATTCAGTATCGTCACTATCGTCTTCAATGGAGTTAAAAACATCATGATTATCATCACCATTGTCCATTTCTTCACCATTTTTCTCTAGACTATATGGGCATGGCCCATTATAATTCGGATACATTGCCTTCACATATGTGACGAGTTGGTTTGCTTTAAATCGAGTTCTATTCGGAGCCAAATGGAAAGTGCCAAACTTTTTCGCGGCGTTTATTATGTATGACTTCGCTTCCTGACAAGAGATGAAAAAAGAAGAAAACCTTTTATTTTTATCTTTTTCCACCCCGTTCACTTCATTCTTACCTTTAGTTCGCTTTCCAAGTTGTATTTACCATATGCGGGAGAATCTTTCGAGAACAGGTAGCAATTTTTCGGCAAAATGTTGATGAAATCCGAACTGTGGCCATCAAAGCGAACGACTTTGATTTGTATATCATTTACAATCGATATTAGTTTAACCGGCCAGTATTTTCGGTCACCAAAATTCTTTGTCCATAGCACGATATTCGGCTTGCTGCATGCCATAAAGCGCCATTCTTCCGGATATTTGTGTCTGTTTTCATAACATTCGGCACAACTTTTGATGTTCTCAATTTGTGCCTCACAAAATTGCACCAAATTGTCGACACCTGAAGAATTGAAATAAAAATTAAAATCTATTTGTTCCAAGCTGAAACTCATAATAAGAGGTGCAGAGAAGAACAAAACCTACAAAGCTTTCGCATATATGATGATTGTCGGTCAGTTAAGTAAATATTGTGGTCAATATATTTGGCATCAACGATAAATGCTTCCAAACTATCGTAGAGGCGATCATCGGTCTTCTTTTTCATTTGATTCAAGTCGATTGGATTGACAATATCGTCGCAGTTATTGCCGCAATTGGTCAAGTACGTTTGCAGCTCTTGGAACTATAGGAATTAGAGAATGCATTTGGATATTTCATTTGTACGACAAATGGTCTTAACTTACTGCGCAATTTTTCAAAATATCGTTCATTGTGTATTTGAGTAAATCCAAAACCGATTGCCTACTCAAGTGGGACAGAAAAATTAATCGACATTCCAAAAAACCATTATAAATTAATTTTCACTCACTTTCCGACAAAATCAGTTTTTGAAGATTCCAATTTAATACATATCGGACATTCCCATTCGGCCGGATCAATTCGGCTGGAAAGCTGTCCGTATCCTGCCAGACACTTTCCGTGAAATGATCGGAAGCATTTCCAACAATTATTCTTCCGAATGACCTCTGGTATGAATCGGTTACATTCCCAACAATACTTATCGCGAACAATTTCCTTAAACACCAAACGAAACATCATTACATAAATTAGATCTACCAATGCAAAAGGAGACCATTGGATACAAAAAGGGTAATTCAATAAGCAAAAGATAGAGAGAGCAATTTTTAAGTATATTTGTTAATTTGTGCTCTGTCGTGCTTGTTGCAACGCCGAATTGAGTTGGACCGAACATGAATCAAGCAAGTTTTGGTTTTACTTACTGCTCCCTGGTGTGGTTGACTCATATTTGGGGTTTTATCTTGATTATCTGGTTCCATCTTTGATGTAATCGGTGTTTATTGACTTTTTGTCATGTAATGACAAGAAAAATCTACTAAAATTGAATTTTATTTATTTTTAATGGCGATTGTATTTATTTTCATGCAAAAGCAAATTATACTGAATCTTGGTTCACAGTTTATACATCCTTTGTCGCTCAACTAGAACTGTCAATAAGCATAGCACCTCACTGCACAAGGACCATAATGAATGAGTTCAATGAAAATGTCGTTTTATGAAATCAAAAGAAACCATTTATTTTGTCGATTTATTTTTTGAATTTTTCATTAAAAATGTTTTCAATGAATTATGGAGAATACAGAATAACTTCGATTTGTTCGAGATTTAAAATAAGAACGGTCCAAAAAAAGAATGAAATACATTTTATTTATTTTATCATAATTGTATTCAATTTTATTGATTTATTTATAAATAAAATGTTTATATTGTTTTACTAAGGTCCTGAAGGTCCTGGCTTGGCCCGAACATGTAGACCAAACAAAGAACATTGAAGAATTTTATTTATCAAACAAAATTTGTGAGGTAATACAAACTAGTTTATGCGGATAAATTTTGTGCATAAATTCTCATCAAAATATAATTTTCCGGCAATATAATGATTGAACATCGAAATACATTTTGAAAAATATCGGTTGTTTTGACTGGTCTATCGTCATCTTTTATGGAATTGGAAATGACTACCATTTTGAATGATGCATCTGTAGTAAGTAAATGAATCATATTGATTTATTTCTCGATTTTCAATACCAAAAACTCTATCTCACCTGTATTCATTGATTTGAACTTTGAGTTCCAATGAAGCTCAAAGAATATTGGCCAATTTATCATCATGCACTTTTTTGAGTTCTTCCATCGATTTTTGATGATCAGCTTCAAGACTTTTGTGCAATTCCTCGATCGATTTTGTGTGCTTCTCTTCTAAATCGGAAATTTGTTTTGCTTGTACAGTTCGTTCATATTTGATGGTTTCAATATCGGCCGAGAATTGGGCCAGTCTCTCCTTCAAATCCTCGTTCTTTTTCTTCAATTCACAGATTTCTACTTCGGATTTTTTCTGGTCGTTTACGTGCTCTTTTTGTAATTTTATTTCAAATTCTTTCGATGATTTCCTTTCAAAATGTCAATTTCTTCTTTTGCCTTGGCCAGTGCTGCCTTCTTTTCAGAAGTCATGATATCAATTTGTGCCTCCAAGTCATCGATTT